GGTATGCGTTCTTTTCTTTCTCTTCCTCCATCTTGGTCAAAACGTATTCTAAGTCGGCATAGACCACAAATGGAAGCCGCTCTTTCCTGTTGTAGTTGTGGAACTCGAGCCACTTGTCTTTGTCGCTCGGCAATCGGATAGCGCAGTCGTTCATCTCCCCGCAGTCGACCGTATGCGACTGCAACTTGGCGTCCGAACCAAAATAATGCAAGCATCTGTAAAAGAAAGAAAAATTTTAATTAAGATTTAAACAATCCATATTGTAATTATATAAATTATAATTATTCAAATAATATAAAATAAACTTACCGGTCGCAGATATATTTGTGATTCTTGTGTTTGCTCAGTTGTGAGCTCACAAGCCTGGATAAATTTTTTATCCAAGCAAAGTGTCCCACGCTGTTGTCATCTTCAATGTACAGCAAGTTAACATGCTTGTCCCGCTTCTGATTCGAAAGACGTATCGGGACAACGTTCTTGTCTTCGATGCCGTACACGTTGATTGAAATGTTATTTGCATGTTCAAATTTCTTAATCTGATTCACAATCGCTGGAAACTCAATGTCCCGGAGATTCAGCACTGTCGCGTAATGCGGGTACGATGATTCCCGTTCCGCGTTCCTTTCGGCGGGTATAGGGCGGCGACCACTGCCCACGCGAAACACGCATTGTCTTTCGATTGCACGTTTATCACCGCTCTCTTCGTCGCAATCTCTCGCGGTAACTTGATGTGACATCCCGCACACAAAGGATTATACTTGTTTATATTTACATTTAAATTCTGTATTCGCGACAAAGCCCACCCGCTGTCGCGTTCCTGAAACTCTTCCAGAGATGCTAGAATGGACTCGATAACGCGCCGTTCGTACCACTCGCGTAAATCCGATGTGCGAAAGAGTTCACAGTTTTTCGTATTCACACTTTTATTGGCGCGTTTATCTCCGGCCACAAATTCACCATTAAACACAGTGTTCACTTTTACAGTGTTGTGTTTTCTTAGAGCGTCCTGCACATGTTGTATCACAATGTCTTCGACATCCTCGAGAAATTGACGAGGTTCGATATGGTTTGTATTAATTACAGCACCGGTCAAAATTCGGCTATCAAATGCGGTATCGATCTCTCGCCAAACGAGTCTTTCCGCGTTATTGTCATCGCTGTAATCGCCACCACTGGAATAAATCGCCTCTGCAATCGAATTTTTGCACTTTCGAGTCGCGCGATTTTGGCTACCAGGGATTGTCTACATCCGATCAAGAGTCGCGGACGCTTGACACGACTGCGTTCTTCGAGCTCTTTGATTATTTCCTCGCAACGCTGCAGCCATGCAAAATACTCGCCCAAGGTGGTAATTTGGTGAGATCGCTCCATCAGATCGCGTTCAGTCCGCTCGATGTTTTCCATTTTCTTCTTATCTTTTTTACACTACGTCACACTTTTCTACGGAGCATTTGCACTTTTTGCACACGATAAATAATACCGTTCGCTTGAACGTGAAATCGCGCAAATATCTTTCTGGAGGGACACCACTATACTCTTCTATAACCGGCGTGTCGATGCGCTCAAATCACAGTGACTTGATGCGCTTCAATCATCCCTGTATTTCGTCTAAATCTTTTTATCTTTGCGTAAAATAAATAAGTATGGTGTATCGTAATAATTATTTTATATTTACATCTCAGAAAAAATTCATTCTCTCTCACACGCGTGGTAAGAGCACAAAGCAGCCAAACATCGGGGCTGATACGTTGCAATTCTTCCAAGAAAAAATATGGAAAATAATTTTGGGTCGGCCCTAACATCCAATCCTCTTCAAATACCGCTCTTTTTTGTTTATGCTAGTCATAAAACATTCAACACGTCCCCAAACATCCCCCGCGCCTCTGTACTATGATTTGACATGTTTCAATCCTCCTCCTTCTCCTTATATATATATTTCATCCAATCCTTTCTCATCTTTTGAATGTGGGAAGGTACAACGCAGAAAGAGCATGAACATCGATAGAAAAAAGAAAAAGAAAAGAAAAGAAAGAAGGTTGTGCCCTAAGATGCAATCCTCTTCCAAGGAATACAGCTATATATTGTTTTATGTTAAAAAATATATAAGGAAAAGGAGCTGCACTAGAGTATCATTTTTTCTTTCGTTGCTCTTCTGTGATTTTCTTTCGTTGCTCTTCTGTGTTTTTCTTTCGTTGCTCTTCTGTGTGTAATCTTGTGCAATGGCTGAAGTAATTATTATCGATGATGATGATTACGATATGGATCTGATTGTGGCTGAGAGGATGGAGATAGAGAAAGAGGAGATGAATATTGGTGATCACGAATTAGCAGACGAGGATGGGCTTGATGATGAAATGTTACTTGATGTAATAGAACCGTTGACGGATAGTGACTATAATAGTGATGACAGTGAGGATGGTGATGAATTGTGGCAAAGAAAACAACGACACCTAGAACTACCTGAAATATTAACGTTGAATGAAACGCTAAAAATATGTTGCATATCGTGGTATTATGAAGAAAATGGAGAAAATTCGAAATATTGCACTGAATGCTTTATCCAACGAGCGTTTTTATTTATAGAGGCTAAATCTGTTAGAGAACATAGAACCACAACTTATTGCAATATAGAGGCTATGTCATGCAGAGAGTGCAGGAAATCTTTACATCAAGTAATGCCATGCGACATGTGCCCTGTTTGCAAACATTAAAATAGATGAGTCATGGATAACATTGTAAGTATCTTTTAATTTATTATATCAAAAGTATCTTAAAATAAATTATTAAATAATTTAAACTAATGAAATGTATATATTTTCTTTTGTTTCAGGAGCAGTCCCCTGCGACCATCATATTGGATATTTTTATTTGGATGTTCATGCTCTTTCTGCGTTGTACCTTGCCACATTCAAAAGATGAGAAAGAATTGGACGAAATATATATATATATATAAGGAGGAGGAGGAAGTAAAATATATATATGTATAAATGCCTTGTACATGTCTTAAAAAAATTTTTTCGCGAGCAATTTATGTTTGAAAATTTACGCACGAAAATTTATGTATGAAAATTTAATTTCTTTATCAATTCTTTATATTGTATACTTTTTTATTAAACTCACACATTTGAATAAATTATATATATTTTTAATTATAACAAAAAATGCAATTATTTACATGTCTTTCCCTTATGCTCCAATCCTTTGTGTGCTCTCGCATTAATTATAAGTCTTATTATTATAAGTATCGTTCTCTCTCACACACGCGACAAGGGTACAAAGCAGTCGAACATCGGAGGCTGATATGTAAACGGGGGACAAAGGCTGGACCGAAATATCTCAAAAATATAAGTTTATGAAATAAAGTTATTAAAAATATATATAAGGGTATAAAAGGTTTTTTACAATATCCCATTTGCAAAAAAAAATTTTTTTGTCCCCCGACAATCTCTGAAAGCTTGTCCGCTTAATCTCTATTGTTTATACGTCGAACGGGAAAAAAAACCTGGAATTATCTATATTAGGGGGTGTACCTCGAGAGTACAAAGCAGCCGAAGATCGGTGCTGATATGTAAACGAGGGGAGCGGGGGGGGAGACAAAGCAGTCGAACATTGGCGCTGTTAAAATTTTTCCTTAAAAAATAAAATAAAAAATAAAATAAAATAAAATAAGATGATAAAATAAAATAAAATAAGATGATAAAATAAAATAAAATAAGATGATAAAAAATGATTTTTTTGGTTAGGCCCAAAATCATCTTCAAAAGAATACCGTCCTTTTTTTTGTTTATGCATGTCATAAAACATCCAACACGTGCATCCCCCACCCCGCAATCCCCGCGTGACGTCATACCTCGCTCCGCTGAGATCCCCTCGCACCTCACCTCCCCTGAGAGGACCTGAGTTAGAACCCGCCTAGTACTAACTACTGACATCTAGTAAACTACTCTGGATCGATCAAACACGAACATTCAAAAACGCCATTTGATATTTTTTAACAATATATAACAATATATAACAGTTTTAGACATCTTCTTGATAGTTTAATAGATAACAAGATCACGATATGAATAGTTATCATAAAATATGTTAGAAGGATATTTTTATTCTTAATATGATAATTATTTCATGCATTGGTCATGATAACTATCAAAAAGATGTTCAAAAAACTGATATTATATAGATTATTAAGACATTTTTCCTGCAGATAAAACACAACATGTACTTATTGTTTTATTTAATCATTGTAAAGGTTTTATATTTTTTAATAAAAGAACATTTCGTTTTTTAGATAACTCATTTTAATAAAAAAGATTTATACAAAAGATAAATGAAATCCTTTATTTTAATAAATAATTCTATTACTTTTGATAATTGACAAATCTTTTCTTTTTAGTTCTATCATACTAACATTACATATATGTTACGTTATAATTATAATGTACGCAAATGTTTAACAAAAATTATAAGCGAATTCAACGGTTTGATGACTATTTATATTAGATAAATATCTTACACACATACAATATCAATATTTAAAAAAAATAACAATATTTATAAAGAAAAAAAATATTTATGATAAAATACATAAGCATACAAAATAGGAACATAATTTATAAAGAGAAAATATATTTATAGAAAATATATTTATAGATAATAATTATAGAAAATATATTTATTGAAAGGATGCGCGTTATTGCTTGAACAACATAATATTTAAATTCTAATCTTAAACTATATAATCTTATAGACTAATCAGATAAAATAAAAATAAACATGAAATCTCTTTGAAATATATAATTACAAAAACGTAATATAAAATGAAAATTTTGTTTTTAGTAGATATACGAAAAATTAGGAAAAATATTTATAAAATATACTTGGAAATATTAAAGAGATACTAGGAAAAATTAAATCCTAAAAATTTGATTTATTATATATTTGTTATAGACTATATTGTTATAGACTATAATAGTTGTGTAATATTTGATTAATACTGAGATCTAAATTAGAGATCTGAGATCTTGACTTCCACAGTCATAAGTTTCACTAATACTAATGAAATCATTTAAGTTGTGATTAAAATTAATAGCGGAACTATCTTGGATTTTTGCTTTTTTAATTCCTATAATATTTGTACTTAAATCGTGAATTCTATTAATATTATCATCAATGTCATGTTCATGTCTTTTTTTATTTGTCGGTATATTTTGACTGACCTTTTTTTCCTGTATCTCCTTCCAAGTATTTCGTATATCTACTGCACTTCGTCGATATAATTGGCGAGTACTTACAATATTCTTTTTTTTATATTCAATTTTTCCAGCCATTTTTTTAATTTTTTTCCTTATCAGAATAAAAATTGTCTATTCTATTATTATTATTTTCGTCATCCTGCTTTTTTCTTTTCATTTGATTTTTCTGTCTGTCAGGAGCGTGCTTTAGCCAAATCTTAATACCATCCTCTATTTCCTTGTTAGTCACTCCAGATGTACGTTTGATGGATTCTAGAAAAAATTAACAGATCATACATGTCATTAAAAAGCATTTTATAGAAGAGTATTAACATTTCAAGTAGAAAAATATATTGATATGATATATAAGTATCACATGAGTGAAATATACTCACCTACAATTACAGTCTTTAAGCATAAATCTGAAAAGGGTCGTTTATTTAACCTTTTCCCATAGAAACTGAATTCTGATGCTAATGCATCTGTAAAAAGGTATCTCAAAATTCTTGATATTTTTGTAGAGATATCTCGTCCACCAATTGTACATAGAAAAGCAGTCTGAAAACATCGCAAAAATAAGATTTCACAACATGCACTTTTTAATATTATAAGAAACAAATATAGTATAAAGAATACATACACATATACATATACATATACATACATATCCTTTATGCTATATTATTTTCTTACAATGTTAAAAAGCATGTGTGAATATTATATATATATAATATATACATATATATATATACATATATAGTAAAAAAATAAATTTTATATACCAAAATGTCTATTTGTGTTTTATCTGTAAGTGTTTGTTCTACATGATGAACATCATGTAAACTTTTCATAGGAAATTCAAAAGCAAAATTGTTTTGTAAGGGCAGTATTTCTTCTTTATTCCGCAAAAGGGCTAACATCTGTGAATTTTGTGTTTTTATGAGAGTTAAAAGCTGAATAACCTTTTCTTGGAAAACTGAAAAAATCGTTTTAAGAAAAATTTACATTATTGTATTGTATTAACTTTTAAAAAAAATTTATTTTTTTTAAAAGTTAATACGCTTTTTTTAAAAGTTAATACGCTCCTTCTAGGAGCGAGAGAAAGATGTATAAAGATCTATTAATAAGTAATAAAAATTATATTTCTAAGTTTTTTAATAAATTAAATAATAATTTAAATAAGAAAGCATTCATTTCGTTCTTTGTTTAGATTTTGTTAATATTAAAATATTTCAAACACTTATTTGTATTACTAAATGTAAAAAAAGACCTTAAGCAAACAAACTGTATAAATATAAGAAATATAAAAATATAAAATATAAAAAATATAAAAATATCATACCTATTGATTCTGTTAAACTATCATCTGTAGATGTAGTATGTGGTATTTTGTACGTATAAAATCTACTATTTTTATCTACATAGTCCGGAACGGATCTTGATGTAATCATATTATACGAGTTAAGTTTTGAAATATTACGTACAGTTTGTTCTATTACTTCAGTTCTACTACTAGCAGAATCTGCATCGGGAACAGAATCTGGGGTTTTCGGCGAATCTACATCAGATGAATCTGTTTCAGAAAAAAATTTTATAATGTTAGACAAATGTTTATAAAGTTATATATACATAAATGGTATTAGCAAAGTAGTATTAAATTTACTTATTATTTTAATTATGTATAAAGAATGCATTCAAAATTATGTAGATAAGTAGAAATAGTAAAAAATTTCAGCATTATTTAATGAAAATTTTCTTTAATAATGGAAAAATAAAATATTAATAGTATTATATTAAAATTATAATATTATATTATATCATATAAAATTATATATATATATTACTGCTAAAATTATAATAATTTACATTGATCAGAAATCGGAATATTCTTTCCAGTATTTTTATTTGTATTAAAAAATTTCCTTTTTAATTTTGGAGGCCGAATATAAATATTATCATTTTCTTCCTCATCACTTGATATAAATCGACGGGGCACTGTTATTTTTCTTTTAGAAATCTCAACCTCTTGATTATCCGTTTGCAAATCAGATGTAACTTCTGACAATTTACATTTTTGTTCAGCCTTTTGTAAATCATCTAAAATAATTCCATTAATCAAATATCTATATTTCAAAACAAATAAACTTATAATGAAATGATTATAATTACTACTAAATTTGCTTTTGAAAACATAGAATGGAAATAGTAAATGATAAATTTTAGTAAAATACATAAATACATAAATACATAATTTTTAATCCCACAAGTTAATAGAACTCAAAAATCTGAAATATTAAATGTAAATATAAATGTTCAACTATTAATTTTTTAATTATAAACGTTTTCCCATATTCTTTTCTTAACTAGATATTAATTTTAATTTAATAATAAGTAGTATAGAAACCATAAATAGTAAGTAATCTAACAAACAGTGTGCAACATGATTTTGTTTATCAAATTATGAGTAAAAATATTATAAATTAATTTTTCTTTTAATATTATATTATTAGATATTCATTGATATTACAGGAATTATATAGTATGTGTAATATTTAGAAATATTTTAAATTATAACAAATTGCTTTTTAGTTTGGATTTAGATAAGAATTAGATTTTTAATTTTAAATTAAAAGAGATTATATAAAATAACATAATACATTAATCAAGTTAGGGCCATTCGAGAATTCATTGTACATGTCTCATTGCCAGTTGCCAAAGCATTGTGATCCAATTAGCGTCAAGCTAATTCGACATTTGCAATGTATTCTGGAATGGCTCTTAGTTTACATAAGTAAATTAACTTATATAAAACTTTATCACAATATTTTTTATTTCTATAAATAATTAGTAAAATATTTTATGCTTACCAGTTTCATATAAACATCTCACTATTGAATAAAGTTTCCACTTTTCAGTATCTGGATATAATGTATTTTCTAATACTTTATTAAATGTTTTTTGATCTTTCATAGGTGGCCAAAAAACTTCTCTTTTTCGAGGAGTTATCCAAGTCTTTCTTACCACTGCAACACCACCTCCATCATCAAATTCAATTAATACATAAGACATAGTGATGTCAAACTGTTCGTATTGATTAGCATAAAAAGTATCATGTAATCCTACAAGAATAATTTTTTTTATAAAAAAAACTTGAAAAATGCATGCAGATATAATTACATTATTGTTATCTTTAATGTAACCTAATCTAATTTTTCTCAGTTTTTAAGAAGATAAAATAAATAAATATAGGTTAAAACACAACAAAATATCAAACTAGCTTGAGTAATACTTATACATATGCATCTTTACAATAAAAAATAACATAAATTACTTACTTGTAAATTAACTGTCGAGTAAAAATTACGATGCACGTACATGCAATAACGTGTTCACACCACAATCACATATAGGACTGCGGTCCAGAATAAACCTGCGCAGCACTTTTACACGCATGCGCGAATATATTATATTATGTATATGTATTGTATTGCATTTACTGTTATAATATGATTGCGTTTCGAAATTTATTGCTACTAATAAAAATCTCTAATGTACATAACGTGTATTTACATACATTGTTAGCACTAATTTTTGTTGCTTTAATCATAAAATTCTGTGAAAAATATATTAAAATTAATTTTGTAATTTTTATTTCATTATTAATTTATAATTATATATAATATTAACCTAGATAACAAAAGTAGTTATTTTGATGCGATTTGATATCAAAATAACTACTTTTGTTATTCAGGAGAAAAATGAAAACAGTTGTTATAAGACTTTATATAGATGTCTTTAGAACAGTTGTTATAAGACTTTATATAGACGTCTTTAGAACGTCTTTAAAATGACGTCTTTAAATGGTTTAAAAATGATGTCTTTTAAACATCCATCGTTAGTCGCTGACGTCATAGACCAAAAATAGACATCATTATGTCGTCTTCTGACGTCACTTTGCTACTTGGGTCTCTAGACATTTGCGCATATTTCTATATTGAATAAAAAAAGTGTCGTCGAAACTGCCTCAGGACATATATATTGTGACGTTGCCGTCCTTTAGAGCGTCCATCCGTCCCGAGATTTTAAGGGGCGCCGGCCGAGCGGCCGCGCCAGAATCAACCTCGAGAGAGCGCTATCTAAAAATCCCCGGAGAGACGAGCGATATCGTATTTTGTAAGAATTTTTATTAATTATACCGATATGCTTCTTTGTTGGTAATAAACGACAACGGGCACCTCGCCGGAGAAGATCCGGAGGACCGGAAGCACATCAAGGAAGATTGCAGCAGGACGCTTGACGACAGCGAACGGAGGAGATAATAACGGATGAAGGGACGATACCAGGGGAATTTACCCCCGTCCCAGGAAGGAGGACAGACGTCCGATCGACGCTACCCTCCGAGGAGGACCAGCGACAGCGGAGCCTCCAACGGGCCCTTGTACCGGGGCCCGCGACAGCGATTATATAATTCAAATTGAATTAATTGCGCGCGAAGCGTTAAAAGCGCCGCGGATCTCGCGAGGCGCCAGGATCTTTCGCGTGCCGAATCCTGATTGGCCGCGGGGCTGCGCACCCCACTAAGCGGTCATTGACGCCGCTATCGACCCCGGGCCGCGAGATCCCAGGATCATTCTGGTGCGGACGCTGGCTAGAGATAGTAGTTAAACTTTGATTGTCGCGAGAGAATTTGTGTGTTGGTCGCCGCTATCGAGACCGAGCTGAGGACGAGGCCGAGGACCCCAGCAGGAGGACGTGTTATCGGTGAGGTTGCCCATCCTTTCGTAAAAGCCACGTACGCGATTTCGTCCGCGTGCCGGCCGTTCTGCCGCCGTCGCCATCTTTTTCGTGTTTCGCGACCGCTCGAGCCGTTTGCCGAGACGGTGATATTTCGTGAATTTGTCGGGCGACTGGAGGCAAGCGACCGAGGAAGGACCTTTGTAACGTCGGCGATAAATTGATAAGGCAACGTTCGTCTCTCTCCGGGTTTCGGGTGTTCTTTACGCGAAGCTATTGACCGGCGAATTTCGACCGCGTGCGCGAAGGATCGTGAAAGCGAATACCGCCCGGGTTGTCGTACCGCCGTTGTCGCCGCGTGGAATACCCCGTGACGTGTCTCAGGGCGATTTTTGGATGTCTGATAGCGTGTATGTCGTCAGTAATTGTAAGAGTGCGTGTGAACGTTTTTGGGTATTTCTTTGTCGAGTGAGTGTGAAAGTAATTGCGTCGTCGTCGCGCTTATTACGCCGCCGAAAAGAACGTAACAACGGGTAATAGAATATGGTCGTCTTTGTCGCGCCTATTACGCTGTCGAATGGCGCGTAATAAATAATGTGTAGCGTCTGCCGAGTTTATAGAGTGTGGTGTGAAATAATCGCCAGAGTTTAGAGAGTAAAATTGAGCGATTTGCGCGGAAGAAAAAGGCGAGATATCGGCGGAGAAAATTCTCCGTGTACCGTCGGCTATCGAAATTTAAGAGTATCGTTCGCCTATCGCAGATATGATCCGTCTTCGCACAAGTATTCAGTATCTTCGGTTACGTATGATGTCGAATTAGTAAGCTGTCGATTTGTTCGCGAATTAGGAAATTGCGGGGAAACGTCCGTTGCGACAAGTCGTCGATCAGGCTACAGAAAGTATGCTATCGTTGGAATAATATCCGCGAATATTTTTGTACCGAAAATTCTTATTATTCCGTAAAGCCTCGCTCTGTCCGGCGAACTCCGGCCATAAAAACGGGCTCGGATAAATAACCGGATTGTATTAGCGCTCTCATTCTCGGTGTCGATTCGAGCAGATCCTTGTTTAGAATACCGTCGCAATTTTCGTGCCAGGATCAATTATATTGTCTTTTTCGCTTTCGTATTTCGTTGTATTGTGGACCGTCGTTTCTTGATTTGTATAATTCGTTCCCGTTTTTCGGGGAATTAATAGCGAACTAATATTTTTGTAAGGAATTGTTAAATTCAGTTCAATTGTCGCTTATTATTGTTTGCTGAGGCATTGTTCAAAACTGATTCAATGCATGTTATTGATTTGTTAATTATTCACTCGTAGTGTTACTTTATTTTCCTAGTAATAAACTTGTTATTTTTTTTTGTTCAAATCGCGTAATTTATTTAAGTATTCGTCTCGCTTGGTTGTCGATTGTCGTTCTGTCTGTCGTCCGTTAATTTCGCTAAGACTCGCATAATCAATTAACTTTCTCTAATAACCCCTCCCCTCTACCGTTAGGCGAGCTAGTCGGCCCATGGCGAAGCAGGCTATCGTTTTCTTTTAACGTCTTTCGGATTTTCGCGAAAACTGATGCGTGAAAGACCGCATCTGGCGCCCAGCTTTTCGATATATCGATACGGTCTCCGCTCCGCCGCGGCTCGCGCGAGAACGTCCTCCATCCCGGTTCCTCAGAACGCGAGTATAATAATTTCGTTATTGTTTTTGACGGCGTTTTCGCTCCCCCGCGCACGCTCCCATCCAACATCTCGAGGGGTGTCGCGATTCACTTTGAATCTCAATTGAATAAACGTCACAATATATGTATATATATATATTGTGACGTTGCCGCGCGTCCATCCGCCTCGATATTTTTAACGAGACGCGGGCCGAGCGGCCGCGCCAGAATCTACGCCGAGAGAACAATATCGGGCTCCCCGGAGAGACGAGCCATATCGTTATTTTTGTTGCGTTTATTAATTTTATTCGTCATTTCTTTTGTATCGAGCGAATTTCGGGCAATCCGCCGGAGAAGATCAGGAGGGCGAGGAGCACATCGAGAGATCTTACGTCACGGCGGACGACTCGGCGCTTCTCGATCGCCAGCGAGGGACGAAATAGCGTCCGAAGAATCCAACCACCAGACGCCAAGGGGGCAACATCGCCCCTTCTCGGCCAAACAGGGTGAAGGCCGAGTCGGCGCTACCTCCCCCGCAGAGGCGAGAACGACAGCGGAGCCTCCACCGGGCCGTTGAAAATGGGCCCGCGACAGCAACATTTTAATTTGAGGTCATTGCGCGCCAGGCGCTGAAATACCTCGCATTTCGCGAGGCGCCAGGATCTCTCGCGTGCCGCGATATGATTGGCCGCGGGGCTGCGCACCCCTCTACGCGGTCATTGACGCCGCTATCGACCCGAGATCGCGAGATCCAGGGATCATTCTGGTGCGGGACCTCGAGCTCAATAGTCGCTCTAATTAATTGTCGTTTTCGTGTGTGAGATCTTTGTCGCCGCTATCGAGACTGACCAGAGGACGAGGCCGAGGACCATCCCCAGCAGGAAGAGGTGTTATCGGTGAGGTTGCCCATCTTTCCTTTGTGAGCCACGTACGCGATTTAGTCCACGGGCCGGTCGTTCTGCCGCCGTCGCCATTTTTCGTGTTTCGCGACCGCTCAGGCTCAGTGCCGAGACGGTGATATTTTGCGTATTTTCGGGCGACCGGATGCAAGCGACCGAGGAAGGACCATCGTAACGTCGGCATTAGATTGATAAGGCAACGTTCGTCTCTCTCCGGGTTTCGAGGTATTCATTACGCGTAGCCATCGACCGCCGAATATCGACCGCGTGCGCGAAGGATCGCGAAAAGCGTACGCCGCCCGTGTCGTCGTGTCGTGTCGTTGCCGCGTGAATATTTCCGTAAATTATCTCAGGGCGATTCTTGTGTCGGATTTCGTGTATGTCGTCGTCGATTGTTAAGATTATGAGCGTTTATGCTATTTTATTGTAGTGTGAGCGTGAAAGCATTTGCGTCTTCGTCGCGCTTATTACGCCGTCGGATAGAGCGTAATAAAGAATAAATTGTATCCTTCGAATTTGTCGTGGTGCGAAATAATCGCCAAAGTACGATCGATGGTGAAATCTGAGCGGCTTGCGCGGATGAAAGAGGTAAAACGCCGGCAGAGAAAATCTCCGGCCGCCGTCGGCCATCGAATATCGAAAATATCGTTCGCTTGTCGCATACAAGATCCGTCTTCGCAAAAGTATTAATTATTTTCGATCTCTGGTTCATTAGACTATCGAGCTATTAAGTGGTCGTTTTGTTTCGCGAACTAGGAAATTGCGGGGAAAAGTCCGTAGCGATAAGTTGTCGGTCTGGCTGCCGAAATTACGATATCGTTTGAGTATTATCCGCGAATATTTTTGTGCCGAAAATCCTTAGTATTCCGTAAAGTCTCGCTCAGTCCTGCGAACTCCGGCCATAAAAAACGGGCTCGGATAAACAACCGGATTGTATTAGCGCTCTCGTTTTCGTTGTCGATTCGAGCAGATACTTTTTCAGAGTACCGTCGCAATTTTCGTGCCAGGATTAATTATATTGTATTTTTCGTTTTCGTATGTCGTTCGAATTTATTGTGAACCGTCGTTTCAACTTGATTTGTATGATCCGCTCTCTTTTCTAGTGGAATTAATAACGAACCAATGTCTCGGTAAGGAATTATTAATCTCGGAAGAATTATCGCTTCTTATTGATTGCTGATTTAATGTTCAAAATTGATCCATTTCTTATTATTAATCTATTATTGATCACTCGTATGATTACTTTATTTTTCTAGTAATAAGCTTGTTATCTTTCTTTGTTCAATTCGCGTAATTTATTTAAGTGTTCGTCTCGCTTAATTGTCGATTGTCGTTTTGTCTGTCGTCTGTTGGTTCCGTGAAGACTCGCATAATCAATTAACTTTCTCTAACGACCCCTTCCCTCTACCGTTAGGCGAGCTAGTCGGCCCGTGGCGAAGCAGGCTACCGTTTTTAGCGTCTTTTCGCGAAAACTGATGCGTGAAAGACCGCATTTGGCGCCCAGCTTTTCGATATATCGATACGGTCTCCGCTCCGCCGCGGCTCGCGCGAGAACGCCCTCCATCTCTGTTCCTCAGAACGCGAGTATAATAATTTCGTTATTGTTTTTGACGGCGTTTTCGCTCCCCCGCGCACGCTCCCATCCAACATCTCGAGGAGTGTCGCGATTCATTTTGAATCTAATTGAAATAAACGTCGCAATATATATATATATATATATATATATATATATACACATACACAATACATAGACAAATTTTAAAATATCGTTTTAATTAAATTCAATACACTATATAACATTCATTTGTAAACAAAATTTCGAAACTTTATCCATCTGTTTTTTACAACATCATATATATTTTTTACTTTTATATTGAATTGTTTTATTTTATCTTATCTTATTATATAGATAGAATATATAATTTATTCATTCATTTTTAGTCACACTACTAGCTGCAATAACATTCAATTGTTTCTTAATCAAGCGAAAAATATCTCCTACCTGCGTGAAATTTAAATCCGGATACACGGAAATACTTTCTTCCTGAAGGATGTTTGAACTGTTATCATCCTTCGGCGTGATAATTGCCTTTGTCAATATTAAACCTTGCAATAAAACACATAAAATTGTTCCAAACATAATTTGCATTTTTAATAAACGTTTGCACTTAATCGGTTTCCGTTCAACCCTCAATTAATTGTTTTTTTCACTCTACTAATTCTGATGTGTAAATGGAATTGATATTAATTCACATAGATACATATATTTTCGATAAATTCTTTAAAAGTCTGTTTTAACGAATCGCAAGTTATTATCTTCTAATATTATGTTAGTAGGGAGAATAGGTCGATTCTAACCCACTTTTTCCACGGGTGCGAGAGAGAGGTCTCGTAGAGCGAGAGAGATAGAAAGATATCCGAGGGGCAGGGTGACGGCGGCGCGGGTGAGCAGGGGGGGGGGTAGGTAGGGCGAGGGGAGCCGCTCGCCGTCGGATGGGTAAACGGTGGGTCGTGACGTCACGCGGAGGGGGAGGGCGAGGGGGAGCGGACCGTGGGTCGTGACGTCACGCGGAGGGGTGGGCGAGGGAGCGAGGGGGAGCGGGCGCGAGAGCGAGGGAGAGGGAGAGAGAGCGCGCGCGCGTCCCTGGTTACGGCGGGCGCGCGTCCCTGGATACGGCGCGTCGGAGCGTCTCTGGACGAGGCGCGCTAGGCGCGCGCGATAAGCGGCGATCGCCCCGTCGGGCGCGAGACAGAGATAAGGTCGACGTTAATAATAGAGCGGAGCGGATGCGTCCAACGCAGGCCGGGAAGAGATATGACGTACGATTTATATGACGTACGATTTTATATAAAATATTATTTTATATAAAATTTTATACGATGTATAATGTACGATGTATATTAGATTTATTTCGAGGAGGAGGAGGAGGGAATTCTTCGCGAAGCGAGGAGAGACGAGGATGACGTAAATCTAGGAGAGAAAAAATAAATTACGTGTACAATTTATTTATTTAGTTATTTATTTATTTATTTATTTATTTATTACGTCACGAAGCTACATGCGTAGATACATATGTACGTCGAAAATAATATCGGTACTCGCGATCGTTTCGCCTTACAAATTGTGATAGAGTCCGAATAGCAGAGCGTGCAACTCGCAGTCGATTAGATCGTTCGCGATGAAGTGCTCGTGCCGACGAATTGCTTCCGGAATATCGCCGGGGTGGTCGTTCTCCGTCGCGATATCTAGAAAACGCGATAACTTGGCGTCTACGGTCTCGAGTACGCCGGTCAACGACGCGACGATGCGATTGACGCACAGCTCGAGAACGAACAGCGCCTTCACGGTAGATTGCGACAGAGCGATGCGATTCTTTGGCGTCTCGAATCGCAGCGTCTTCAGATTGTTTATCTTGCCGAATCGAAGCGTCACGGTTCCGACGATTATGGACGTCGGAGGGCGCGCAACAGCCTCGTCCAAATCGTTCTCGAAATACGGCAGTATATCGTTGCGCAGAGCGAGCAGATCCTTCCATATGTCGGGCGTCAGAGATATCTCCTTTCCATGGCAGTCTCCTAGGACGATGTCGACTCGAGATTCGCGCTTCACGGCTACGGCGATGTCGATATATTTATACGCCGTCTTGGTCAGAGGATATCGTCTTCCTAGTATTCGAATCGGATGTCTCGCGAAATTGATCTCGCGTTTGAACAGCCAGTTTCTATTGCATCTGTCGAGATCGCAGAGAAAAAAAATGACGTTATTATGCGAAAATAGCCGATCGAGGCGGAGATCGAGAGCGCTCGGGCGAGGTAACTCGCGCATACTCACTCGTCCTCGGTGTACAGTCGAGCTTTCTTGATCACGGGCGGAGTGTCCGAACGATCGCGGGTGGTATCCTCGTCCTTGGCGGAAGCCGCGTAATCGTCTCGACGATTAGGCGGGACGACGAAGGGGCCCGTCATCGGCGGCGCCGACGGAGTCGCGGGCGTCGCGGGCGTCGCGGACGAATCCCCGAACACTCTGCGGTACTCCTGTCCTGGTCCGGCGAACATGATCGGTCTCGCGAACAGGGCTTCGATGTTCGTAGGAAAACATTGCGGTGGCGACGGCGTCGTTAACGTTGGTCGTCGCGAGGGGCGAGAGAGAGATTCGTCGGAGACGCTCGCTTAGAATCGGACGCGCGTTAATCGCGAGTATCGTTGGAAATGTCGCGCGCAACGATCGAGACGCGTCTTATATACGATGCGATCTCGATCGTCGTCTCGATATCTTTATTCTCGACGCGCGCGCGTTAATTAATGCAGCGGAAGCGGTTTAGAACAGCGGTTTAGAACAGCATATTAAATGTAATCTTAACGTTAGGTTTCAGGATTTCCTGATCTTAGTCGTCATCATCGTCGTCGTTGCGCGGTCTTTCGAAGGACGCGTATTCCAAACGATACAGCTTGGAGACGAGTTCGCTCAATCGATGCAGAATGCCATCGGCTGGGCATTCTGTTCCCAGTATGCTAAGATCGAAGGGACCGGCCGAGATTATCGCGTCGAGGAACTCGCTGTACGCGTAATAGTCGCGTTTCTTCAGAAAATAGAGATTACCGTCGACGTGGCGGAAGGCGGCCGTTATCGCGGGTGGTATCCCGGAAAACGTATCCCGCCGTGCCTCGCGACGGTCATCGCGCAGTCGTTCATCTCGACTATTATAAAATTATCGTCGTTGTATATGACGCAGCTGCGCCCGGCGTGCGTGTTTATCGCGGCGTTTATCCTAGCGTCGCGGGGAAATCCAACGTATTCGACGGATCTAGGCCATCCCGCTTTAAGATGAAAATTCGAATCGGCGAGGTAGACGTAGTCGCCGGCGAATATCGCGATATCGTCCGACGGTCTCTGATACACGGCCGATACGCGAGTGAGATTGCGGGGGAGGAACTTAAAGTAGTCGGCGAACGAGAAGGGCGTTCCGTAGCGTCTCTCCCTCATATCGACGGGCCACACATTGCGTTTACGCGCGACGTACAGGCGACGATTCATGATTAGCGCTCCGTCTACGCGCTTCAAGGCGCATAGATCCGCGGTATCGGAGGGAGCGAGCGACGGCTCGACCGTTCTTGCGGTCGTCGGCTGAGCCGCGGCTGTCGTCGTCGAGGCCGTCGTCGTCGTCGTCGTCGTGGTCGTTGCCGCGGTCGTCGGTCGAGTAGCGTCGACGATCGTAGGAGTCGTAGTCTCTCTTGATCCGTGAGAGATTTCGTACGTTTACGACGTCCTCTACGCTCAGCCTGAGCGGATATCGCCTTTCCTCCGAAGGCGTGTACGCGTACATGATCGAGTCATCCCTCATACTGTGAGTCAGACCCAGAGTGCGACCGATCTCGTGCGTCAGCGTCTGAAGGAGATACAGCCTGTCCGACGAGGGCTTGGTCAGCGTAATGTGCCACGGCTCCGTCTCGTCGACGTGCACCTCGGTCACTTGATCGGGCTCTCCCGTCGGAAAAAACGCGTGAGCGACGACCGATCCCGGTCCCGCGAACGACGACGGGCACGAGCCCCCGTTGTCGCTGTTCTCGTACGCGTGAGCGCCGGATTGATAGGATATCAGTATATCGGGGCGCAATGAGTCGCGCGAGAACGTCAGAGCGGATTGCTCGGACCACAGAGCGAACGCGCTCTGAGTCGTGCGCAGAGTATCTCTGTTCGCTAGTTTGAAGTTCCACGTGAGATGCGTCCTCGGCCACTTTCTCGTCAACGGGCTGTAGGCGCGAATGTCCGCGACGCCGCATCGCGGCCTGCGCATGACGCGAATCGTTTCCACGGTCAGAACGTCGTTTCCCGGCAGACCGTAGTCCTGAAACAACGATAGCGCTTCGCTCAGGACGGTCGCGTTGTCCAGTAGCGACGACTGCTGATGATTCTCCTCGTTCTCCAGAAAGCCGTAGGTTCGAAGATAACGGGACGCCTCCGCGACGTCATCGTAGGTCGATGTCGCCGCGACGGCCGCGAGCAGGGATATTGTCAGCGAGCGATAACCCGACGCGCGTCATGGCTCTCGCGAGGCGCGCGGGGGTCGGGATGGTAGCGAACTATCGCGTGCGCGCGCGTCCTTCGGCGATACGTCGTTCTCCAGAACGCGAGAAAGCGTCGTACGAGGAAGAAGGAGGAGGAGGCGAGGGGAGGGGAGGGTAGATACGCTCGGACGCGCGAGAAGGATGATCGAGAGAACGAACTTTTTTTTTTTTTTAAAGAAACAAATGATTCGTTATTCGTATAAAATTAGAAAAGTGAGAGGAAAGATACTCTAGGACGCGCTAGAGAGGTAATCGAAAAGAAATGATTCTTTATTCGTACAAAAATGATTTTTTTATTCGTACAAAAAATTATTCTTCATTCGTACAAAAAATGTGCGCGATCTACGTGTACTTATATAACGCGTTTAATGCATAATATTCTAATGGGTATAAAATCGAACCATTTGACGCGATATCGAAGCACGCGATACGCGCGTGTATATTAGTCTCGCGATACTTGTCGGAGGACAATGAGGAGATGAATGAGGTGTATGTAGCGTATCGCTTTACGAGTAAGAGGTGTTTATATAAATGCCGAGGGTTATAACGTTTAATATAACGCTTAGTATAACGCTTAGTATAACGTTAAATATAACGCTTAATGTAACGCTTAATATAATGAACTAATTACACGGTCGATACGCGAGTGAGATTGCGGGGGAGAAACTTGAAGTAGTCGGCGAACCTTATATTATAATATTCTAATATAATGTTCGAGAGAACGCGGGGTCTTCGAGTCCTCCCTGTTTGATCTCGATATATATACGAACGACCTGTGAGAACGACCTGCGATCATATATATTATATTTCTTCTAAGTAGTTAGTACTAGGCGGGTTCTAGCTCAGGTCCTCTCAGGGAGGTGAGGTGCGAGGGGATCTCAGCGGAGCGGGGCTATGACGTCACGCGGGAGTTGCGGGGTGGGGGATGCACGTGTTAGATGTTTTATGACATGCATAAACAAGAAAAAAGGGCGATATTCTTTTGAAGATGATTTTGGGCCTAACCAAAAAAATCATTTTTTATCATCTTATTTTATTTTATTTTATTTTTTATTTTATTTTTTATTTTACTTTTTGAGGAAAAATTTTAACAGTGCCAATGTTCGACTGCTTTGTCTCCCCCCGCTCCCCCCGTTTACATATCAGCGCCGATGTTCGGCTGCTTTGTACTCTCGAGGTACACCCCTAATATAGATAATTCCAGGTTTTTTTTTCCCGTTCGACGTATAAATAATAGAGATTAAGCGGACAAGCTTTCAGAGATTGTTGGGGACAAAAATTTTTTTTGCAAATGGGATATTATAAAAAAACCTTTTATATCCTTATATATATTTTTAAGAACTTTATTTCATAAACTTATATTTTTGAGATATTTCGGTCCAGCCTTTGTCCCTCGTTTACATATCAGCACCGATGTTCGACTGCTTTGTGCCCTTGTCGTGTGAGAGAGAGAACGATACTTATAATAATAAAACTTATAATTAATGCGAGAGCGCACGAAGGATTGGAGCGTAAGGGAAAGACATGTAAATAATTGCATTTTTTTGTTATAATTAAAAATATATAATATAATTTATTCAAATGTGTGAGTTTAATAAAAAAGTATACAATATAAAGAATTGGTAAAGAAATTAAATTTTTGTACATAAATTTTCGTACGTAAATTTTCAAACATAAATTGTTCGCGAAAAAAATTTTTTTAAGACATGTACAAGGCATTTATACATATATATATTTTATTTCCTCCTCCTCCTCCTTATATATATTTCGTCCAATTCTTTCTCATCTTTTGAATGTGGGAAGGTACAACGCAGAAAAAGCATGAACATCCAAATAAAAATATCCAATATGATGGTCGCAGGGGACTGCTCCTGAAACAAAAGAAAATATATACATTTCATTAGTTTAAATTATTTAATAATTTATTTTAAGATACTTTTGATATAATAAATTAAAAGATACTTACAATGTTATCCATGACTCATCTATTGGGTTGTCCGGAAAGTCCGTGCGGATTTTTAAGCAAAATTCGAATGAAAAAATTTTGTTGTTAAAAGTTATTTCATTCTGTGATATATGCACCATTATTTTGCACAATACTTTTCCATCTTTCGGGTAATTTCATAATTCCTCTCTCATAGAAGTCTTGGGTTTTTTCGGCGAAGAAGCTGTCCAAGTAGTTTTTGAGGAGTTGCAAAGAAGCAAAGTTCAAACCATTAATTGAGTTTTGTAGCGATCGAAATAAATGAAAATCCGAGGGTGCAATGTCGGGGGAATACGGTGGATGAGGCAAAACATCCCAGCCAAACGCCAATAATTTTTGGCGAGTCTGCAAACTTGCATGAGGTCTGGCGTTATCATGATGAAAAACGACGCCTTTCCTATTGATCAATTCCGGACACTTTTTGGCGATTTCTATCTTCAATTTATCCAACTGTGAACAGTACTTGTCCGAATCGATGGTTTCGTTGTCCGGTAGTAGCTCATAATATACTATCCCCTTCCAATTCCACCAAATGCAGAGCATTACCTTTTTCGGATGTAAGCCTGCCTTCGAAGTGGTTAATGGCGGTTCACCTCGCTTGCTCCACGACCTTTTACGCTCGACATTATTATAAATTATCCACTTTTCGTCGCCTGTTATGATGCGTTTTAAAAATGAATCGTATTCATTGCGTTTGTATAGCAAATCGCTGATGGAAATGCGGTCAATACGATTTTTCTCAGTTAAGTCGTGCGGCACCCAAACATCAAGCTTTTTTACCATCTGGAGCTTGTTTAAATGTTCGGAAACAGTTGATTTGCCAATGTTTAACCTCGCTGCGATTTCCCGAACTGTGCTCTGCCGCTCGGAATCGATTAAAGCTGTTATTTGGTCGACATCAGTGGTGACTGGCCGACCAGAGCGAGGAGCATCTTCAATATTCATTTCTCCTGAACGAAATTTAGCAAACCACTTCTGACACATGCGATCACTTACGGCATCTTCCCCGTATACGGCACATATTTTTTTTCGAGTTTGTGTCGCGTTCTTTCCTTTACGGAAATAAAAAAGCATTATGCATCGAAAAAACACGTTATTTCCTTCCATCTCTAAACTAATGTCAAGTAAAAAGTTTTTAATTTATTGGGATAATTAATATCACTAAGTATGCGTTGAAATGTCACTAATCAAAACACGAAAGCATTTGACATATCACATCGACATAAACTTGTAAAATTCGCCTTTGAACGACATCTATTGAGAAATCCGCACGAACTTTCCGGACAACCCAATATTTTAATGTTTGCAAACAGGGCACATGTCGCATGGCATTACTTGATGTAAAGATTTCCTGCACTCTCTGCATGACATAGCCTCTATATTGCAATAAGTTGTGGTTCTATGTTCTCGAACAGATTTACCCTCTACAAATAAAAACGCTCGTTGGATAAAGCATTCGGTGCAATATTTCGAATTTTCTCCATTTTCTTCATAATACCACGATATGCAACATATTTTTAGCGTTTCATTCAATGTCAATATTTCAGGTAGTTCTAGGTGTCGTTGTTTTTTTTGCCATAATTCATCACCATCCTCACTATCATCACTGTTATAGTCACTATCCGTCAACGGTTCTATTACATCAAGTAACATTTCATTATCAGGCTCATCCTCGTCTGATAATTCGTGAGCACCAATATTCATCTCTCTCTCCTCTCTCTCTATCTCCATCCTCTCAGCCACAATCAGATCCATATCGTAATCATCATCATCGATAATAATTACTTCAGCCATTGCACAAGATTACACAGAAGAGCAACGAAAGAAAAACACAGAAGAGCAACGAAAGAAAAAATGATACTCTAGTGCAGCTCCTTTTCCTTTTATATATTTTTTAACATAAAACAATATACAGCTGTATTCCTTGGAAGAGGATTGCTTAGGGCACAACCTTTTTTCTTTTCTTTTCTTTTTCTTTTTTTTATCGATGTTCATGCTCTTTCTGCGTTGTACCTTCCCACATTCAAAAGATGAGAAAGGATTGGATGAAATATATATAAGGAGAAGGAAGAGGATTGAAACATGTCAAATCATAGTACGGAGGCGCGGGGGATGTTTGGGGACATGTTGGATGTTTTATGACTAGCATAAACAAAAAAGAGCGGTATTTGAAGAGGATTGGATGTTAGGACCGGCCCAAAATTATTTTCCATATTTTTTCTTGGAAGAATTGCAACGTATCAGCGCCGATGTTTGGCTGCTTTGTGCTCTTACCACGCGTGTGAGAGAGAACGAATTTTTTCTGAGATGTAAATAAAAAATGATTATTACGATACACCATACTTATTTATTTTACGCAAAGATAAAGAGATTTAGACGAAATACAGGGATAATTGAAGCGCATCAAGTCACTGTGATTTGAGCGCATCGACACGTCGGTTGTAGGAGAGTATAGTGGTGTCCTGTTAGAAAGATTTTGGCGCGATTTCACGTTCAAGCGAACGGTATTGTTTATCGTGTGCAAAAAGTGCAAATGCTCCGTAGAAAAGTGTGACATAGTGTAAAAAAGATAAGAAGAAATGGAAAACATCGAGCGGACTGAACGCGATCTGATGGAGCGATCTCACCAAATTACCACCTTGGGCGAGTATTTTGCATGGCTGCAGCGTTGCGAGGAAATAATCAAAGAGCTCGAAGAACGCAGTCGTGTCAAGCGTCCGCGACTCTTGATCGGATGTAGACAATCCCTGGTAGCCAAAACCGCGCGACTCGAAAGTGCAAAAATTCGATTGCAGAGACGATTTATTCTCAGTGGTGGCGATTACAGCGATGACAATAACGCGGAAAGACTCGTTTGGCGAGAGATCGATACCGCATTTGATAGCCGAATTTTGACTGGTGCTGTAATTAATACAAACCATATCGAACCTCGTCAATTTCTCGAGGATGCCGAAGACATTGTGATAGAACATGTGCAGGACGCTCTAAGAAAACACAACACTGTAAAAGTGAACACTGTGTTTAATGGTGAATTTGTGGCCGGAGATAAACGCGCCAATAAAAGTGTGAATACGAGAAACTGTGAACTCTTCCGCACATCGGATTTACGCGAGTGGTACGAACGGCGCGTTATCGAGTCCATCCTAGCATCTCTGGAAGAGTTTCAGGAACGCGACAGCGGGTGGGCTTTGTCGCGAATACAGAATTTAAATGTAAATATAAACAAGTATAATCCTTTGTGTGCGGGATGTTACATCAAGTTACCGCGAGAGATTGCGACGAAGAGAGCGGTGATAAACGTGCAATCGAAAGACAATGCGTGTTTCGCGTGGGCAGTGGTCGCCGTCCTATACCCTGCCGAAAGGAACGCGGAACGGGAATCATCGTACCCGACAGTGTTACGCGACAGTGCTGAATCTCCGGGACATTGAGTTTCCAGCGACTGTGAATCAGATTAAGAAATTTGAACATGCAAATGACATTTCAATCAACGTGTACGGCATCGAAGACAAGAACGTTGTCCCGATACGTCTTTCGGATCAGAAGCGGGACAAGCATGTTAACTTGCTGTACATTGAAGATGACAACAGCGTGGGACACTTTGCTTGGATAAAAAATTTATCCAGGCTCGTGAGCTCACAACTGAGCAAACACAAGAATCACAAATATATCTGCGACCGGTAAGTTTATTTTATATTATTTGAATAATTATAATTTATATAATTACAATATGGATTGTTTAAATCTTAATTAAAATTTTTCTTTCTTTTACAGATGCTTGCATTATTTTGGTTCGGACGCCAAGTTGCAGTCGCATACGATCGACTGCGGGGAGATGAACGACTGCGCTATCCGATTGCCGAGCGACAAAGACAAGTGGCTCCAGTTCCACAACTACAACAGGAAAGAGCGGCTTCCATTTGTGGTCTATGCCGACTTAGAATGCGTTTTGACCAAGATGGAGGAAGAGAAAGAAAAGAACGCGTACCAGCATCATCGGGTATTTAGTATATTTAGCGTATTATATGCATTGTTTGTACGACGAATCTTTATCGGCGTATCATTCGCGTCGTAGCGCCGATTGTATAGCATGGTTCGTCGAAGATCTTAAAAATTTAGCGATTCGCCTTAAAAATATTTTAACGACTAATGTCCCTATGGTAAATTTAACATCGGAAGAGTGGGAAAAATTTCACAGCGCAACGTATTGTCATATATGCGAAAAACCGTTTACGCAAGAAGACGATACACGCGTACGCGATCATTGCCATCTGACCGGTCGGTATAGAGGTCCAGCACACTCAAATTGCAATCTAAATTACAAAGAATCATTATATATTCCGATAGTATTTCATAATTTATCAGGTTACGATGCACATTTTATTATCGAAGATATTGCTACGGCGTTCGAAGGGAAAATCGAATTACTTCCGATAACCAAGGAAAAATATATTTCGTTTACAAAAACTGTTAAAGTCGCACAGGACAATTGGAAAAATTATATAAAATTAAGTTTTATCGATTCGTATAAATTTCTTACGGCAAGTCTCGACAAATTGGTATCTTATCTAGAGAAAGATAGACTCAAAATTTTACATTCACAATTTCAAAATTTATCTGCAGAACATTTCAATTTGTTAACGCGAAAAGGTGTATTTCTCGTATGAATCAATTCCGTCGACAGATTGCAAGATACGTGCTTACCACCGCGCGAATCATTTTACAGTTCTTTGACCGGCGAAACTGTATCCGAGAGCGATTACGCGCACGCCGAGAACGTCTGGTCGCGATTCTCCATTCGGACGCTAGGCAAATATAACGATTTGTATCTGAAAATCGACGTCTTGTTATTAGCCGATATTTTCGAAAACTTTCGAGATAAATGTATCGAAAGTTACGAACTCGAGCCCGCTTACTATACTCTCCCCGGACACACATGAGACGCCATGTTGAAGCATACGAAAATCACGTTCGAGCTGCTTACAGACATCGACATGGTTATGTTCATCGAACGCGGTATACGCGGTGGTCTGAGCTAATGTTCCAACAGATACGCGCGCGCTAATAACAAGTACATGAAAGAATCGTACGATCCAACGAAACCATCGTCATACTTGATGTATTTTGACGTTAATAATTTATACGAATGGGCAATGTGTCAACCGTTGCCCTATGCCGATTTTCGATGGGTCGACGACGTGTCGAATTTTGACGCGTCATCTATCGCGCTAGATTCCCCTACAGGCTATATCCTCGAAGTCGATCTCGAATACCCGTGACATCTTCACGATACGCACATTGACCTTCCGTTTTGTCCGACGCGCGACAAGCCACCCGGTAAGCGGGAATTCAAACTGCTTGCAACGTTATACGATAAGAAGCGTTACGTGATACACTACCGTAACCTACAGCAGTGTACGCGTCACGGCCTTCGTGTAACAAAAATACATCGCGTATTACAATTTACGCAATCTCCATGACTTCGCAGTTATATCGAATTAAATACACATTTTAGAACACTCGCGAAAAACGATTTCGAGAAAAATTTATATAAATTAATGAATAATGCTGTGTTTGGCAAAACGATGGAAAATGTGCGGAATCGTGTCGATGTAAAATTATTAACAAAATGGGACGGTCGATACGGCGCGGAAGCGATGATCGCAAAACCGAATTTCCATAGCAGAAGCGTTTTTTCGGAAAATCTGATTGCAGTAGAATTGCGCAAACTCGAGGTGAAATTCTACAAACCGATTTATGGCATGTGCATACTCGACATATCCAAGATATGTTTGTATGAATTTCATCACGAGTACATGTCTCCTCAGTATCGCGATAAATGTAAGATTATGTATACCGACACAGATAGTTTGATATATCACATTCAGTGCGTTGATGTGTATGAAAACATGAAGCGCGATATCGCCAGATTTGACACGAGCGATTATGCGGTGGACAATGCGTACGGTATACCGGTTGAAAATAAAAAAGTACCGGGCCTGATGAAGGACGAAAATAACGGTGTCATAATGACCGAATTCGTCGGGCTCAGAGCAAAGATGTACGCATTACGAGTCGATGGGAAAAAGGATACAAAAAAAGTTAAAGGCGTCAAGAGCAACATTGTCACGAGAACGATAACGTTTGACGATTACACGCGGTGTTTGAAAGAAGAAATTGAAATGACGCGCCAGCAGTCGTGTATATGATCTAAACTGCACCAAGTATACACGATCCGCGAGACGAAAATTGCTTTGAGTCAGTACGACGATAAGCGGTATATCGTACCCGAAACCACAGATACATTACCGTGGGGACATTATAGGATACCATTGTAATATGTAATGTAAAATATATAAAATGTAAAATGTGTGCAATAAATTATCTATTAAAAGAATTATTAATAAAATTTTTATATTGCATATATTTTTATGTAATGTAATGTATATTTCATACATCTTTTTATCTTAAAAAAAAATACATGTACTATCGAAAGGAATATTAATAAGGATTTTTTGTATTTTTTAATATTTCATATATTTTTATATGTATCTCATACATCTTATTATAACTTATTAAAAATACATGTACTATAGAAAGGAATATTGATAAGGATTTTTTATGTATATTTTTATGTATATTTTTATTTTTTTTAAATATTATAATGTTATACATATATATTTTTTCCAGAAAATTAAAAAATAAACACTGTATGATTAATTAAATCACATTGTCTTTATGTATCGAAGAATTGTGTGAATTGTCAAATCCCAGCCATTTCACGTAAACCTCAT